TCTAAAATATTTAACTTGACTTTTACTTCGTACAAGAAAACTCGACTAAAAAATATTCAGTATTCCGGGTATAAAAAAATTTTTTTTTCAGTGCACAATGTAAGATTTTAACTCTCATGATTTTATTGGCAGTTTTTGAATTTATTAAAATTTTTTTGTTATATGTATATAAACTTTATGTTTTAGTCAAAAGAAAATGACACTTTTACTTAAAGGAAACAGATAAAATATATTTTTCCGTCCTAGGCGGACGTATGGGGGTTTTTACGTGCAGACGATACTCAATCTGTAAATAATACGCGTACGCGCCAGTATCTACTAGGCTGTATAGAACTTTATACAATCCAGGACAATGCCACGCATGCGTCACCAATCTCTATACAGCCGACTAGCTTACGTTTTAACTGTAATTTTAAAAAGCGCACCGGGCGCATGATATGCTGAAAAGACAATATAATCTCAATATTTGTAAATCAATTGTTTTAGTATAGCAGTTAAGTTCATTGATCTCAATTTTTTTAACTCGGGGAACTGTTACTTTAATATTATAAAATTGCGATTTATTTAAAAATATGTTAAAATAACTGCGTTTAAACTATTAATTACAATAAAATTACATTTTAATATTTACTAGAAATTTGAATTAATTAATTTTAACCACTAATGAATCGTGGCCCGGTTTTTGCGAGTTTCTACCTATGACTAACTTCAAGACTTTCATGTATTTTTATTGAGAGGGTTATGGCGTCGTACGCTATTTATTTACAAATTGAATTTCCCCTGCACGCAAAAACCCGCATACGTCCGCCATAGGACGAAAAATTTTTTAAATTAAGCACCATGGGCAAGCCACGCGCAAATACGGTCTCGGCGATAATTATTTGCAGCAGGGATATAAAGCCTCGGCCCTATCGGGCCTCGGCTTTATACTATCCCTGCTGAAAATACTTATCACTCGACCGTATTGGCGCGTAACTCGCCCAAGGTACATAAATAACTAATAGGTACAATAACTATTTTGCAAATAACGAAAAATATTCAAACTTTTAAGGAATAAAAAATTAAAATTTTAACCGAAATTAAAAATTTTTAAATCAAATTTAATTTAAAAAATTTCGAAGTATGTATTTTATAATTTTTATACAAGTAAAAACATTTTTTTACTTTTCTTAAAATAAAAACAATAAAAAATCCTCTACACTCAGAATTTATTTTTTAAGTTTAAATTATTTTTATTTATTTAAGTTTAAAAAAAATATGTATTCATGGTTTAATTATTAACAATAAAAACACGGGATATTATTTTTAATTTTAGTTTTATTCTTAACCTAAATATACAATCATATAAATTATTAAAATTAAGTTTAATTTTATTTGAAATAATTATTTAATTTTTACCATAATTCTGACTAATTACCATTAATATAATTACAATTTTTTTATATGAACTAATTATTTTTTTCTTAAATATAAATATAAATGTACAAAGCACATAAAAATTAATGAATTTTTAAAAATTTACATCTATTAATAATAATAAATTTCATTGTTAAAAATAAAAATTAAATATAACAAAATTATTTACAAAATTAAAAACAAAAGTTGACCTCTGGTGACAACCTGGAGCCTTCAGGCCTACACCTCCGGTGCTTCTTTTGAAAATTTCTGTAACAAAAATTGTTGATAATTAATTATTTCGACAATCACTAACTTATTGATTATAAAATAATTTATTTTGTAGAAAGTGATAATAAATGTACTTACCAAAGATAGCGAGCTTAAGTTACAGTCCTTTGTAGATATATTTATTTATAGAAAAACATTTATTCATAATTTAAATATTAAAAATAAAAAGACACAGGTTTTTATTATTAATTCTACTTTTATTGTTAAATTAAATACACAATTATATTTATTATTAAAATTAAGTTTATTTTATTTAAAATAATTGTTCCATTTTTAATTTAATTTTGACACTGTCACTAATGTTAATATAATTATTTACAATAATCAATTAATTTTTTTAAAAATATAAACATAAATGTACAAACACAAAAAATTTTCAGTAATATTTACATTAATTACATTGACATCTATTAATAATGAAAAAATTTACAATTATAAATAAAAAACAAAAGCATAAATAAATATGAAAAAAAAAAAATTATTTACAAAATTAAAAAACTTATAATTTTTAATTTCACCCCTTGAATCTCAATATCTCTTCGATTCACGGTGATAGCTCGATGAGGGTGATCTCCTATGAGTCCTCGAAGATCTGGAGCTTTCAGCTCTAAATCTCTGGACCCTCTTTCTTGCATCCTTCTCTTGGAGATACCTCTGGAATGCATCCAGAGGATCGACTTCCTGGTGTTGTTGCTGGTAGTTGTAATTGTCGCTCTGGTATGATGGATATACCTCCGGATACGACAATTCCCATCCCTGGTATTGTTGGTACAAGGGGTATCCATAATCAGTTTGATACCCCAAGCTCTGGTCATCCGAGGACGGACAAAACCAAGTACTGCCAACGACGTTCGGGGTATAGCTACTTGGCAATAGCTCACCAGTAGCCTCCGATGATGATGGCAGTGGTGATGATGACGATGAAGGTAATGATGACGTACACGGTGACGTTGACGGTGACGAGGTTGAAGACATCGATGGTGCCGGTGGAGTTGACGATGATGATGGTGGTGGTAATAATGATGACGCTGGTGGTGACGAAGATGAGGACTTTGATGGTGCCGGTGGAGGTGACGATAATGATGGGGATGGTAAAGGTAATGATGATGCCGTTAATGGAGATGGAGATGCTGATGGTGGCGATGGCGATGGCGATGAAGACGATGGTCGTAGTGCTAGCGGTGGTGATGATGATGGCGGCTGTTCCTTCAGCCCAGTGTATACCATATACTTCCCCGTAGCGGTAAGCATGGCTCCGGGGATTTCAGGGCCTTCAACTTCCTTCAGCATTGACTGCGGGATACCTCTGGCTTTTTTTACGCAAGCCGGTTTCCCATTTATTGTAAAAGTGCATTGGTAAACCCAATGCCCCGGCTTGTGACATCGTCGACAGACATATGTCGCTGGCACCGGTCCACTTTGTTTGCGTGGCACTTTCAACCATTTCGATGGTGAATAGTCGGCTGTGGACAACTCCATCATCTTCATGATTTTATCCACATCAGATCCTTCCATTTTGGTCAAATCCACTTGCTTACGTGAGGCGGCATCTTCCTTTAACTTCTCCAACTTCTCCTGGAGTTCAACTTCTTGGCGCTTCCACATAAGCTTCCTTTTTCTCTCCTGGAGTTGATCCTCCGGAGTCAGTCGTCGTTTCAATAAAATCCTCGTATTGCGGCGCACAACATCCTCATCGTTATACTCGGTTTTTGTTTCCGGGTTCGACGCTACCAGGTCCCACTCCCGGTTTTCAGCCGCACGCATTTGTCGAATGACATCTGTTTTCACAGCACTTATCGAGATCGAAATCTCGTCAAAGTAGACAACATATACCTTCTGGAAAATCTTGAATTCACAGAGCACAGACATTTTGCTTATTACTTTTTTTTTGTTTTAAATTAATAAATAAAAATAAAACACAAAAACACAGGGATGTTTCAAATTTTATAAGAGTTTGAACTTTTTAGAAATATTAAGTACACTAAAAAGTATGCACTGTTATAGAAAAATTAATTTTTTAACTATGCACTGTTACGGTAGTCGAAGAAAGTATATTCACAAAACTCACGACTGTTCAGAGCGATGGATTGCAAATAAGTGATTCTTGATTTGGATGTAATGAACGATGTAAGCTATACAAAAAATTATGCATACTAATTGCATCCCCACTTTTAACTGTGAGGTCCAATCAACGTTGACCAGGTGTTTTTCCGACCTTTTACTCTAAGGGCCTAATGAACCTTTACCTGGAAATGTATTCCTCTCAATGCTAATGACCCATGACGGTAAAGAGATTTAAGTACTACTATATGTAATCGGGTAGTTGAAAATTAATAGAAAATTAGTTCTTTGAATTGAAAAACATTATGAAGAAAATTAAAAGTGTACATTATCCGATTATTTTTAATTTTTCTTTCAATACTTTGAACTATTACTTACGAGAACTAAAAATTGATTTATTTTCAAATTTCTTAGTATAATTAAACATCAAAAGCATTAGATTATGATACATAGATTAAAGTATTTATACATATATTTTTCAATATATGTGTATTTAATTATTTATGAATGCCAAAATAAATGTATAATAAAATATATTGTAGGTGATACGAAGTTCACCGGGTCAGCTAGTATAATATATATAAATATATGAAAAAATTATGTGGGTACTCGAATGAAAGGACTTGATGAGTGTAACATCGGGATGAGTTTATATCTTTAAAAATGTCAATAGTTCACTGGATACAAGGTCGTTTCTTAATTGTGTTAAATTGCACTGTACTTTCTTAATTATTGACATTTTTAAAGATATAAGCTCATCCCGATGTTACACTCATCAAGAGCTTTCATTTGAGTACTCACATGCATTTTGATATATTTTTCATATATACATATATAAATATGTATAAATATATGAAAAATTGATGTGGGTATTTAAATGAAAGGTCTTGATGAGTGTAACATCGAGATGAGTTTATATCTTTAAAAATGTCAATAGTTCACAAGATACAAGGTCATTTCTTAATTATGTATCTAGAAATAGAGCATTTTCGAATGCAGCCTAAATATCTATCATGATAAATTGACTATCGGTGAGAATGATATGAAACCATGAAAAAGCACAAATGAAAATCAAGACCTTTGCAATGACACTAAAAAAACCGATTTTATCATATGAATATTCTGGACACAAAATTTTTCTTGTTCTCTTAATATCATAGATAACAATAAATATTAATTTTTTATTATCAAAAATAAAATAGATAATAATAGATCATTTGTACTTGGTAAAAGCTCATATTGATACAAAACACGTAATATCAAGTTGAACTAACCTGTAATTATAACGTTGTATCTTTTGACAAGAGAATGGGATGAGTCGATCTCAACTTGACACTTGTAGAGTCCATTATCTCGGAGTGTTGCATATGTGATCTGTAATCTCCAGTTGTCCGGATATCTGAAACCGCACCAAGGACAAACGTAGAGTATGATGGGGTGTAATGTATACAGCATGGGGTATTGGAAGGCATTCAAGGGCTTTCGTTGTCTCAATGCGATAGCTGTAAGGTCTGAACCCCGGCTGGTACATTTGTATCAACCCATCCAAGCATCAATTTAGCCTCTCTGACAACTAAATCCGGATTATTTACCCTCTTCTTACATTACATATATACTTTACATTATATCCCTTCTTATTCTTATATTATCTTATATTATATTATTTCAACTATAAACTTATATAAAATATTCTATGTAATAATATAGATGCTATAAATATTTTACGTCTATTTCACTCAGGATAAAATTCAAATTTTATTTTTTTATTGAATTTAAATAAAACGCGAGGGATTGGTTGTATACTCTCGAGAATTTTAAATTACCTGCAAAAATCATTTTTGATAGTGTCGTATCGAGGGGAGTTCACTGTTATCGTTTAAATCATCTCATGAAATCCGCTCGTAAATTTTCACCCAATTTTTCAAAATTACAGTCTTAGTATTAAGTAAATAAATTTACGTATTAAATTATTTTCAATTTATATCGAAAAAAAAATAATTTAATTAAATATGGAAAGATTTATATTATACACTTACTGAAATTTCAAGCTGATCCTTTCATCTGCACTGTACTGCACATTGCCTACGGTTAGAAGCCGGATTGAATCTTTATCATGCTGCAACCAGGTCACCTGGAACAGATTGCAGCAAGAAGTTGTTAGAAAAGAACTAAACAAAACTACTTTCCTATCAATCTTCAATTAAACTCGTTATTTTTCATCCCTTCTGTCTCATATATTCTGATACTTTGGTTTTAATGGTACAATCGATAAATAATTACAATCCGAGCATTGCTATATCCTAAAGAACTTATTTTTGACTTATTTCCAATTTTATTTATTTTTTTTTTTAAGCAGTAGTATAACACAGCAACTTTTTAGTCACTATATGCATGACTTTTACGATGATTTTTATTACCGGAAAAAAGGCGAAAGACTTGAGAAGCATCTTTATTTTTCTATGCAATATATAAAATCGAATCAATAAAAACGAAGTTCAATTTCGTGCAATAGAAAAGTGCAAGCATCCAGGAGTGTAGTCGTGACTAGAAGAATATTAAAAATCAATTGGCGAAAAAATTCGAGCCCATAGAAATTTAAATTTCGTCTTTTAAGATTTTAATAAAAAAATTTACATTGAAAAAATTGATAAGAGTTATTATATTTGTAAAATTCTAAATGGTTATATTTATTTCGGGATTTCATGAATCCGTTAAGAAGAAATTTGAATAAACTCAAGGTCTTAAGAGATTTACCAAGTTAAACGTTGGTTTTAAACTTGGACGTATTATTTCTGTTCAATTGTGTCTAGCTTTTTTACCAATTATAAATTGGTTTTTTAAATAGAAGATCGATTGCGAAAAAAATGAAGATGACTTGAGATTATTTAAAGACCTATGAGTGTGTTAATAATTTTTGATTGAAGGGATAAAAATATTTTTGCATAGAATAATTTGAAAAAGTTTGGAAAATCCAAAAGTGCACGCCTCATAATCTCATTTTTTAAAATAAAATATAAAAAGCAAAATAATAAAAAACAGAAAACACTGCTATGGTTTAGTGGCGCCATAACTGCAAGGTGAGGAAAAAAAATACTATAATAAAATGTATAGATAGAAATACAAAAAAATCCACAGTCATATATTAGTTTTTTATAAATAATAATTTAACGACAGTGAATTGAACGCTCATATTAACTAAGAAATTCTGTCGTGTGTTACTTTAGATAATTAAAAAAAAATTATTCCGGTACGATCATTTTTTCGACCAATTTCCCTGCCACATACACCCATTCATACACGGACGTCCAAAAAAGATTATGTTTAATGTTATTATTTATTATGTTAAACAAAAAAATTGTTATTGAAATATATTTTATATGCCTGAAAAATTATTTGACTTGACATAAGTGTACTCATTTTAACCTGTAAGTGCGATATAAATAACAAAAAATCAATTTCAGTTTCGAGAAAACTGCTTTTTTCGAAATGTCGAGAGTAGAGCACAACCTCAACGCTTCGCTTATGAGGCGTGCAATATTTATTGTAGAAATTTTAGGCTAGGTAACTGTTTATATTTTGAGAAAAAAAAAAATTATTGAAAGTCAACATTAAAAAGCGCCATTCAGCCATACCTGATGTAAAAAGATATATAGATTTTTAAAACGATATAAATTGAAAGAATCATTTAAAATTATAAAACAATTTTCTCAAAATTGCTACGAAAGCTACATTTTCAATAAAATTTACCTAAAAATATTAATTCTTTTGTAAATAAATTTTTTCCTTCGAGATTTTCGATATTAAAATATATTATTTGACTAAATAACGTATCATTGCCAATTTAAATTCCTTTGGCAAGTTTCAAATCTTAACAGATATTTAAAAAATACTAATTTTTCAGTTTTCTCTCATTTTTTTTCTCATTTTCTCACAATGCAAGTACATTAAAATATTATTGTTTAAACCTTTTCTTTTATATGTATTATGGTTTTGTAAAAGGACGTTAAATTTATTCTCCAGTGACCCTGTTATTGGCTATTGCTGTTGGATCTTTATGTAAAGAAATAAATAAATAAATAGTTTAAAAAAATATATATTTTCGTGTAAACTGTGAATTTATCAATTTTTCTGGACTTGTTTTTTATTTTTTCTATTTATCCGATATTTAATACTTGACATCCACATTTTTTTTATCGCACCATTGGTTGTTTAGCTCCAGATAAATTATTAAACGGAAAGAAAATTTATAACAGCAACACCCGATATTTGTCTTACACGAAACGACCTCGAAAAGTGAAGGAAGTAAATAAAATATAAATATAAATAAGAAATCCAAAGGTCGATCAATTAAGTGTGGAAATCGGATAGCCGGTGATTCGCACGGTCGTTCGTCGGGGAATATTTATGGGGCGAGTACACGCGCCAATAAAAACAAACGATCTAAAAATCCCGTGCTTTATTTTTATAAATAAATATAGACATACACAACTATTTACTACCGAGACGAGATTGCTGAGTTGAGTGGATATATGTCTACATATACAAACATACATAGTCGGGCTCGTAAACTCCAACGCGATTGCGGATTTATAGAGATGAGGAATCATGGAATTCTCATGCCCAAGCCCAGGTATTAAAGATGTATGAACGTGAACGCGTACACTCTAACTGTTCGCTCCAAGTTTAAATGTACAACCAAACGTAAAAACTCGCTGCTGGTTCTAGCGATTTTTTTTATCTCTATTTTAGTGTCTTTTAATGCCTGCAGATTGTAACTGGAAACCGGTTAAAAATGCTTTACATCCTATTCTATAGATCCGTAAATCGCGAATCGAAACCGTTCCCGGCTCGCTGTCGAGCGATACAGTATTTACGTGAATTTTTTTAATATCATTTTAGGGCGTTATAACATTGCGCGAATCAATTCGAGGGTTTACGAGGCTCAGATCATAAATTATATGAAGTAGCGCTGACAGAAAAATTAACAAAATTGCAAAAATTTATTGTCTTGCTTCAAGTATTTATACTCTTAGTTTCTAAATCATTGGATCAAAATCTTTGTGACTCGAAATTGAAAGCCTGAATTGAGCAGAACTATTAAAAACTAGGATTTGAGTCAGAAAAATTAGGCTCTGGCAGATCAATAAAAATTTATTAGAACATCTCAGCTGTCCAATTTTAAAACACAGTAACTGCAAAATTTTTATACTTGATTTTTTCTAAATTGCTGCATTTTTTACAACACGGTGAGAAATTTCTGTAGAAATTTACTATGCATACATAATAAGACTGAACCTTAATGACTCAATTCAAAATATTACCATAAAAATTTAAGAATATCATATTGTACCAATCAATATTTACTAGAGACCATAGTAAATTTGACCATGTAACTGTTACATAAACATATATAAAAAATTTTCGTAAACTGACTGAACAAAAACTGTGAGTGTGCTTAAAACTTTTCATTATAGTTCCATAGTAAAATGTCTGTTGTTCAGTCGACAATAAAAATTTATAAAAAAAATTTGACATTTAGTCACGTCCACTCGATTTAAATTTAAAATTGTGACTATGAAATTTTCAAATGTCCCATAGTAAACGTATGCGCGTCAGTCGCGACGCGCGCTCTTTCATTTTTTCGTGCTGCTTTGTTGTAAGATTCCTAAATAATAAAATATTTAACAATTTAACGTGAAAAATTAAGATGAAAACAAACATTCGATGGTTAACCTGCAACCGACACTTTTCTAATAATATATTATTATTATTATTATTATTATAAAAAATAATTTAAAAGTTATATATTGTGTTTATAATTATTTATAATAAAATTAATTGCCAAAATAAATCCTACGTTCAAACTAAAAATAGAAAACAAATAAAAAAAACTATATTTTAAAAAAATATTTTTAAAAATTATTACAAACAAAAAAAAAAATCTTGTTTGGTTTGATATTTTTTTTGATTGCTAAAAATATTTTTTACTCTAAAATTTTTTATTTTTTACAAACATTTTCTTATTTTTTTGCTATAGTACATTCGGAAATTTAAATTATTGCATATTTCATTTTACTATGGTACATTTCAATTTCTACCGTTTGCTATGCCTGATTTCATTTGTTTCGGAAATTACTATAGGCCATTGTAAAATTTTATTCTGAGTCAATAAGATTCACTAGTAATATGCACCATTGTAAAATTAAAAATCCATGCAGAATAAAAAATAATAGAAATTTCTCACCGTGAAGAAATTATTCTCAATTCAAGAATTTTTCCTCTTGACACAAGAAAATTATTTTCTTCAAAATGGTATTCTTGATTCAAGATTTTTTCTTTTGAATCAAGTTAAATTTTTTATCAGTGTTGTTTTATATGAAAGACAATAATGATAGGAATAAACACTGACATTGTTCGGATCATTTAATTTTACGTACAACGTTCTATATCGATACGTTATAAACTGTCATTTTTAATGATTTAATGAACTTGATAATGTTACGATTATTTCATAATTTTTTTTTCATAAATTACAAAGGACGATGCTTTCATACAACACCAAGCCTCACAAAAAAATTAAACTGACAGTACATAATTTTAAATTAAAACATTTTCAGTTTAGGAAACAACGAAAGTAGTTTTTTTATTTAAAAAAATAATGAATCAAAACAATTACGAAGTTTGCTCTTTTGGTTTACCAATGATTCAATTCTCCACAGGATATGATGTAGTCCATGAAACGGAGATGGAGAAACGTGAGAGTTAGTTCAAACGCCGCGGGAGTGATGCAGCTGCTGTCTGATCGTCCCTCGGGCGTGGAGAGCTCAAACGCGGCAGTGAACGGAGAAGAGGGATGTAGGTGGGGGATGAGAAAACGTCGGTGATGGCAGTACTATACGATACGAGCCATACGAGAGTGCTTCACTGCTCCGCGTATAACTGGAAATGAAAGGGCAATACAGCCGATGAGCGATAATTCATTCGAGTTTTTATCTTTATTCAAGAGTTTTATTTCCAAGATTTAATTTTTTTAAATTAAATATCTCGAAGCAAAAGTGTAAATTTGAATAAAATATTATTTTTGAATCAAGATTTTTTTTCTTTAATGTAACATAATTTATTTTTATAAATTTTCAAATCTTAACAAGTTTAAAAAAAAACAAATTTTTCAGTTTTTTTCCTTTTTTTTTTTTTTTATTTCATTTTTTCAAAATACAAGTGCATTAAAATATTATTGTTTATTTAATATAATCTCTTATTATCTAGTGACCCTGTTATTGGCTATTGCTATTGGGTCTTTATGAAAATAAATATATAAATAAATTGCACACAAAAAAAAAAACTGTTTTTAATCTAAATAATTTTTACAAAAATTATTAATTTATTGGATTTAGCAACTAATAAAATACTAATACAGTATATTATAATTATAATGCGCTAGGTGAAAAAAATAATAAATTTATCAAGAAAAAGTCAATTTATTTAGATGTGAATTTGTGCATGCACGTCTCGATGCAAATGTCTTTTATTTGTGAAGATAGAGAATGCGAGTGAGGTACGAAATATATAAAGAGCTACAATAAGAGTATGTTAGAATCTATATCGCATCCACCTATACATGTATATATAAATATATGGATCGCGTCTCGTATAGACCGAACCCGGAAAATACTTGTTTTCATTTCCTGGTCTCGACTCTCACATCCTTCTTCTATCAGTTTCGCATTTGGTATTCTACGAAATACGAATCTCGCGAGAATTTAAAGCGTCTTACTCTTTCCTCTGGTACTTCTTTGCTACTACTTCTACTTTTACTATCACTATAATGCTTCTATCTAAGTGCATTCGACATTAGTGAGTGTGCGGGTGTGCTTGCAAATGATGGAAAAGTTCAGATTTGGATTGGCTTAAGAAGCTGCAGAGACTCGAATAAAAAAGGATATGAAAAATTTATACATAAACTGTAAAGATAAATATAAATATAAATTTATGCATGATACATTTGCTAAAAAGCTGCCAGAGAAGGTTCATAAAAAAAATTTAGCATTAAGTAACAAACAGACAATATCTTTATGTAAATGTTTACATGAGAGAATGAAAACTCGTTCAATATTTCAGGTGGGTGACACTAAAACACGGAAATATCAACTAGCGCTCGCTTGGATAAAATCTCCGAGGGAAACAAACGGAATACAGTAATACAATCTGATAAGTAGACGGGAACTATTTGGAGGAAATTAACGTTAAAGTTTCTAAAAGGATTCTATGAAGTTGTCACTTGGAAAACTTTTTCTTTTTTGTGATTACAGAAAATAATTTCTCGCGTTGCATGCTGGTGTATCAAAGTTTGATAAGATCTAATTTTTGAAATGCTTTACTGGAAAAACTATTAAACTAATATATTTATTTATTTATTTATTATTTATTATTTAATTTTAATGCAAACGCAGAATAGCCAAATGGCAAGGTATACAAAAAAAATTATAATAAAGCACACGTATAAATAATGAAGATATAAAATTTCAAATTTTAAGATATTAAGAAAAATCGTTTTTCTTAAATTTGGAATATAGTTATGACTTATGACAAATACAAGAAAGTATAAATTTGAATATAAAAATTAAAAATTAAAGAGTTAAACTCAGTGGTGCAAAGTGCAAAACGATGATAATTTAACATGATAAACTCATGTAAAAAAATGTGTGAATTCAAAAACACTAGTCTTAAATGTGTTTAGGCTAAGTGAATTTGTGATTTCAATTGGTAATTTTTTCTAAATTCGGATCGCATAAATTATGAAGAAATATACGATAAACATAAAAAAATGCGTATTTTTTATAAGATTTTGGTTTATATGAAACATTTTCAAATTTTCATTTTTCGGTCTGTCAAATTTAAAATAAAAATAAAAATTTAATGATTTAATTTATTATTTATCTGAAAGAAGAATTTATTCAATAGCATTTAATTTAATATGGAATAAAATTTGAATAATACATAATTTGAAATATTTATTTTAAACATCAAGCTAAAACTAAGTAAACATTTTTATGACTTTTGTAATACTATTTTAAATTTTAGATAAGCTGTCACAAAAATTAATGAAATATATATCTTCTATAATCTATATCTATACTAATAAAAGTAGACATGTCTAACTGAAAAAACTAAAAAATCTATAAACATCAAATTAAACTCATAAAATGCATCGTTTCTCAGACAATACTTTAAATTTAAAATATTTTATCGAGAAAGTAATCAGTGTTCATCACAAATAATTTCTTCAGTAATTTTATTTAAGTTAATAATTCTATTATTGGTTGACTAGTTTGATATTTGTCAAGTTAAATATAATTTTGATTACGATTTTAGAGTTGTATATATTCAAAATTAAGCTAAGCAAACGATTAACACTTAGTACTTAATAATTAGATGATCATCATCAAAAAAGTTACCTTTTTGTCTCCCAGCAGTCCAATGCGACAATCCAGCAAAACAGTGCTACCAATTCTCTCAGTAACATTCCTGCCATCATCATCATCCAAAAAATACGGACCATACTTCCCAAAAGAACTAGGAATACTAGGAATCTTGAACCCGGCGAGAAAACTGCGCTTAGTGGTAGTAAAAACTGGCGCCCAAGTTCTGGGTGCATCATCCTCATCCATGGCCGTGTTGAGCGAGGGTTTGATTTCGTAGAAAACTTTGTTAGGCTTGCCGTCAACGAGGTTGATAGACGGCTTGGAATGGTCTTTCTTCAAGTAAGGAGTATCAGGATCGTCGTCTTGAGAAGCGTTCTTCGAAACCCACATACTTGCGCCCAGTGCTTGTGGCTCTAAGATCAATGGCGCCTCAAGGGTGGACTCTGCCAGTCGGTTGGGTCTCGAGTGGATTGAATGGTCCGAGTTTCCAGAGTGTAGAGTGCCGGACAATATCTGTTTGGCACTTAGCACTTTGATTGCTCCCGTAGACGTAAGCGTCGATGTGGCTTTCGTTCCCGAATCATCTAATTGGTTCCGAGCCGTAAGCTTTTTAGTTAGATCCTTGAGTTGATCGTCGACATCTCGAATTGTTTCGGCGTCGAGAAGTGAACCGGAAATCAATGTGTCCGTAGCTTCTCCTACCGACTCATCAACTCGGGATTTAGTGTCCGGTATTGCTTGAGTAAGGTTTTCCGGTCTTGAAAACTCAAGGAAGCTCCCATCACTCCGCTTTACCCTGTATTTGTTGTCTTGTTCCACTTCTGAAGGATTTAGGGTCTGTAAATTTTGGTTTTCCGCCGATGCTGATAAAAAGTTATGCTTCTGCGTAATTATTTCTTCTCTATATGTAGCTGTAGGTACGTCTGTTGTTGTTGACGCTATTTTAACTGCTTCGAAAATGTTTCTGGTGGTGGCAGTGATGTTTGTCCATTTGCGATTGGAAAACATATTAAGTTCAACTCTATCCATTTTTATTATCGCATTTTGGAGAAGTTCACTCGGGTGTGGAGTGACCTCAATTTCAACTTTTCCAACGCATCGGTTACAACGATACTCTGGAGATATTGAAGTACTTCCATCGTTGGTGGTACTGGTGGTACTGATGTTGATGCTGATGCTGATGTTGTCCTCATTTCGATGATTGACGTCCTCGACGATCCGATATTTCCTGTCCTCGGTTTCTGTAACAGTAATCGGAAAAACGCTCAACGTCTTTTCTATATCGATTTACCGGGAAGCTAACGTTTTTGTATACCCCCAGTGGGAGGTAAATCTTACGCTTCGATTGAGTTGAACGCGAACGATGAAGAAAGAATTGGTTCATTCTGATGAAAAATCGAGAATTCCAAGTGCTATGTGGACAATGATTAATGTAGATACCTTTTTTTCGAGTTGTTTTGTTCGCGAACCACGTTTTCAAATATATATATTGGAAAACTACATATATATACATGTACTTGGCCAAGAAAAAATGAGATATATTTTTTGTCGAGACATGAACTAACTTCAACCCTGTTGTTGACAGCTCAATCAAATAGCCCCCCCCCCTTTCTAAAATCTTTTTTAAACCTTTATTGTTTTGTTCCTAGGTGAATTCTTCTTTAGTGGAGTTGTTAAGTGTCAACAACAAGTTGGATTTAATGATTGGAGGAACGGATTTTATTTTTATAATTTAATGCTTATACGGAAAAAAAATTGGAGGAAAAATTACAAATGTTATATTGTAATCCAGAACCAGACTCAATATCACTTTCATAACTTTATATTTCGAAATTTATGATGTTATATCGTAAAAATTCGTATATTGACTACCTTTATATGCCCTCGGAATACACGAAAAAAAGTATACTGTAAAATTTACTCTGATGCCGGTTAGTTTTTATAGTTTCAAACAGTTCAGCGGACATCGGGGTGGCACAAGTTTAAATATTACAAAACTTAATGTAAAAAGTGTAAAAGTCACAATTTATAATTTAATAATAATAAAAAATTGTCTTAAAAAATTACAGTTTCAAACAGTAAAAATTGCTGTTTTAATATATAGTCTATACTATAAAGAGAAAGGGAAGGTCTCACTCGGAAAATTTAACATTTGAAACAGTAAAAATTCTATTCTTAAAATATATATTTTACCAGTCCAAGCAAATCAATAATTATAGCTTGATTTTTAGCGTTGCGTTTAAAATTTACCATTTTACTTTGTAAATATTGACGTTGCTTGTATAGAAATTTAGTAACTGTAGTTGATATTTTTTACATATCATGCGATCATTTTTTAGGTACGAAATGATAAATATCAAAATCAAAATTCTTAATTATTATACTTTAACATTTTCGACTCATATAGCGAATATTACTGTTTGAAATGGTAATTTTTTCCAGTTGATCATTACTTATTATAAATCGACTATTATTTATTACATTTTTCCGTGTATGATTATCAGGAACACGTGTTATATTTAGAACAATTAAAATTTTTTTTGCTGACGTAAAATTTGGAAAAATCTAAGAAATGTGAATTATTGAGTTTCAAAATGAAACAATTAACCTAAATCCAATACAAACATGTTTTATGATACCGATTCAACAAAAAATTTGCGAAAATGAATTTAGACTCTATTGTTTCCGAAAACAGTTTCAGTATTCACTGCAATCCGATTCACGTACTTGATAAATTGTAACACGACAAATGAAGTTAAATTTGAATAAAAGACCTCTTGACCCATTGCAAATTCAGATATAATTTAACGTCGATGTAAATAAATGCCGATTAAAATAGAAAATACAATGAAAAAGGAAAAAAAATATTGTTTATTAACATTTGATCCATATTGTAACGCTGAACGAAATTGAGTCACTTTGAAAGAGAGCTTTTGAAAAAAACATATTTCCCATTAAAATTGTACAAAATAAAATAAAACAAATTTAAATAACATGGCGTGATATGTGAGAGTTATTCACACACTCTCCTTTGTGGGGATTCATTTCCAGTGGGTGATTTGTATATTACAAAAATAAAGTTGTGAGCAAACTGTGGTATGAACAGGCTTGGGGTCGAGAGATGCTAAGAGATTGTGCGGTCAAAGAGGAGTCTTTGTGGAATTTGTTTACCAGAGATTCCTTGTGATATTGCTTCCAACACGCTTTAGGGGATCTACGTCGAGAACCAATTCCGTGACACTCAGATCATAGTTAGTATATCTGTCTATGTCTATGTCTATATCTATACGCATTGAAATAGATCAATAGCTCACTTGAGTCAATAATCTCTCTCTATTTGATTCACCGGAAAATATGTTATTTAACACAGTAGGCTCCTGTGAAAAAATCAATGGTCATTTTCGTGAACGAAAAAAGTTATTAGAACCAGGATTTTCATTACATACTTTTGTAAAGAAACGGATTATTTTAAATTGAGGATTTTAGATAAAGCCAAAGTGAGCAGAATAACAAGTAGACTGTTAGAGGTATTCCAGAGATCGGTTAATTGAATTTTTCACATTGGATTTAGTAAAAAAATTGCAATTTGTGCCATTCTACAGGAACGATCTCGAGTTACACGGACGAAAGCTATGTTGAGCACTTCAAATAAGAAAGTACCTCCAATGTTTACACTTATGCTTTGAAAAATTTTCGCGCATCGAGTAAATACAGGATGAATTTAATTTTGATTTCTTTTCATTCTCTAATTTTTTTGTTTTATATGTCAATAAAATTTATTTTAGTTTGATAAAAAACGTATTTGATATGTATTAAAAAAAAACAAATTTTTTGTAATTGTAGCAAAACATTTTTACCTAAAGTGAAAAAGACAACACCAAAAATGCTTACTATGTAGCAATTAAATGCTATAATAAATTACCGAATGAGTTAAAAACACTGAATGTATCTAAGAAAGTCCTAAAAAGAAAAATTTGCCAATTTGTTAGAAACTTATGGTTGTATTTTTATACCTTAGAAATGACTGTAATGCAATTTTTTTCTATGACATTTGCAATTTTGTGCTTTTCTTTTCTACAGTACTTATCATGATATGTAAAATGTATGCATGATTTTTTGTATTTTGTATTTTTTCTGGTTTCTATGCACAAGTGTAATGCACCTCTATACACGGAAAAAAGAAAACTTGAAAAATTACATTATAAATAGTAATAAGTGTCCCGTCGTATTAAAAACTAGAAAAATTACAGTTCGAAATAACATTTTTCTAAATCCAAACTTTGAATGTTAATTTTCAGAGCTTTCAGACGTAAATAAATAAATAAATAAAACAGTTTTTTAATTTTTTAACCAATTTTTTTTTTTAATTTTATATTTTTGGTACTCTAAGTAATTTGATTTTGTTTTACAATTTTTGTTTTGGGGCTACCTTTATTTCTTTAATTTCTGAGCATTTTTCGGATACTATTCTGATTAGAAAATAAAAATTTGCTCTTTAAATTCTAAATTCTATAAATTTAAATTTATTTATTAAACAATACTATTATAAATGTGAATGTATATGAGGTCTTGACATAACTTTTTGATAAATAAATAAATAAATAATTATGTTTGTTTAATAGTGATCTAAAAATAAAAAATTTTTAGATTTGACCTCTTTAATCTACAAAAATTTTGAAATTAATTATAATAATTTTTTATAACAACCGAATACTTAAATTTTGCGTTTTATTAATTCGAGTTTCAGATAAATTTAATTAATGAATTTTTCTTCATCTTTTTAATTACCTGATGATCCTATCACCATGACACCGAGGATGGAAATGAAGAGACCAATTGTTTTGTGCAGCAGCCGCATCTCCTCGAGTTAAATTCAGTCTTATTCACCCTACCGCCATCTTAATCACTGCGTCCTGCAAACAGAATAAGAAACGACGGGTATTAATAACACTCATATATATTTGTCTATAAATATAGAAACAACAGCAACAATAATTATTATACTGATAATAATAATAATAATAATAATAATAATAATAATAATAATAATAATAATAATAATAATAATAATAATAAGAGAATAGTCGTCGTAATGAATATAGATCTAAAGGAGTATAATCCGAGTAAACAGAAAACAGAGCGAGATAAATACCCTTTCTCTATACGTGGATGAAATTTACAATATGATATTAATTAATAGCAGGGATGCATGGGAGATTATGGACAATGTTTTCCTCAGTGCATACAAAAGGATCCAGAGACAAAGTAGACCAGTAGTTAAGCGAGAAACTTTTGTGCCGGTATGAGAAAACCACTTTATGGTATAGTATCGCTTTTGTATTTCTTACTCGTTTATCCTCACAGCACCCTCATCCCTATCACTTTAACTATCGTCATCATCGCATATACCTCATTTCCGTTAAATTGAACTACTTTCTAGATAATGCTGCTATTGTTATCCGCTAAATAAATATTACATTACATCATACACTAGATAAATTTACACATTTTCTCAAATAGGATCATGATCTGCCTATCTATTCACCTGAAGTCAAAAGGATTTAATGGAAATTTGAAATATATATTCAAAACGATAAATATTGAAAATTAATTATAACTTTTAAAATTTTTTTCTTGGGAATTTTATTTGACTGCTCGCACTGATAGAACTTACCCCCATGAAAAAAAATATACATTGAAATATATAAAAAATATAAAAAAAAATATATAAAATATATATGAAAATCGGCCAAAAGTTAGTTATTAAAAAGATATTTATTATACATATTTTTTATATGACATTTATATGACGAAATAAATATTTTTTATATTTTTTTTTTCATGGGGCTAATAAGCTTCATTAAAAATTAAGAAACATTTAATTTAGACAAGATAGAAAAATATAATAAGTGAAATCAATAATGAAAAATGATAAATATAGATTGTAGAAAATTATCTTCCATAATGTAGATTTTAATTAATGTTTTTTAAAAATTTATTTTCAATAATTTTTAAACTATATAATTATAACAGAATCAATAATTTTATATTCTAGGGTATAAGAAGTGATTAAAGATGTATTAACTGTTAAAAAATATTTATTAATTTTTAATAAGAATATTTACTTTTCTTCCTCAAAAATTATTTATTAAAAATTAAAAAATAGTTGCTTATATTTAATTAATAATTAATTGGGTTTAATAAGCTTTTATTTTTATAACATGTGTTTTTCTTGGGTTATAATTTTTTTTTATGAACATTTAAAAAATAAATATTAAAATATTAAAGAATAATTTAAATTATAGAATCAAAATTTGTAGAGTTTAATTATTTTTGGCTTTACTTAACAAATAATCTTATGAAATTCTTAGCAATAAATTTTTTTTCCAATTTATTTATAAGAAAAGTTCTAAAAAATATTCAAATTGTAATTTAAAAAATACAAGTTAATTTAAGCATGATAAATTAATACCTTAAAAATTTGTTAGTCCATAACCAAGCGAAGGATAAAATTCGGCAAATTTTGATTTACTTTATCGAGTAACATTCGCGGACAGTTATATATTTTACATTGAAGGAATTGAAACATGAATTTTTTATTATTCAATATTCTTCAGAATAAACGGCTTCACGGTCAGGTAAAACGGATTATATTTGGGGCCATTATGTCGCAGTTCCAGTGTCAGGAGAGAATATATATCATAAGGAAAAAAGGTGTGCAGTTAATAGTTTTTTCAGAGGGAGTCCTTGGCAAAGTTTTTCAATCGCTCAGAATATAACGACGCGGCGAAATCACGAGAAGAGAAAGTGAAAGAAACGCAAAAGGGGTTACTCGGGTGCATCAGCGCTCTGGAGTAATACATATGTACAAAGATCTAGCTAAAAACGGTGCCGAGAAAAAACTAAAAGAATAAAGAATAGTAGTAAGAGTAGCAAGCACATGCTACAAAACTCTAACTCCAGCATACAAGTGAGAACTTAATCCTTTGACGACAACCTTTGCTCCGTGTTTTTTGGTCTTTTATCTTCGGGACCTTTGTGAATGATAAATTTATTTCTTCCAATTACTCGGTTATTTTACGGAATTAAAAAACATCCGAACGTTTCGTTTCTTAGTTTACTTTTTTTTTAATTTCACTAATGCGGGCTCTATGATCAAAGAAAAAATATATTTATGGACAGAAAAAAATCTTAACTCACATATAATATTGGTGATTTCAAAATTTTTTAATAATTAAATAAAGTAAAATTATTTCTCAATCAATATTTTTTATTTTACTGTAAAATAATATTTTGTTCAATTAAATACAGTTTCTCAACGCAAGATATTTTTTCTCTTTACTTTAAAGTAAAATAACTTAAAAAATTGTTAATTTCTATAAAAAATAAGCGCTAATAAATAAATTTACAAATTACTAAAAATCTTCTTTTAAATTTTAAATGATTTATTAATTAAAGAAGATCGTCAATTAATTAAAGCTTGTAAATTAAATAATTAATTAATTGAATAAATAAAAAAAAAATTTTCAAGACGGAAACCATTTTTTTTTTTATAAATATATAATAACAAAAATGAAAGCTTCGATGAAGGAAAAAAAGGGAAAATGATTTTAAATAATAATTGAAACCGTTGACAAATTTCACCGTGAATTAAAGTCTGCAACAGATTTTAAAATAGCGCTTTATGCTGTCGTCCGCTGGTAGGCGAGGTGAAAACTCCAACACGTCCGTTGATCTACGTCACTTTTTTATGGAATAAAATAGCAGTGTAAAAAATCGCAGCGTCAGATTTTTCTGGTGACCCTGCGCCATAAAAATAAAAGAAAAACCAAAATTACACCGGGGTGAGAGAGTGGAAAGGATTTCGTACTATGTCATGGATAATTTTCGAATCCCAACATCCAGTACGTCATATTCGTTCGACCGTTTTAAAATCTAACCGCACACTGTCACTTTATATATGCAATTATTTTATTTCACTGGTATAGTTGTCTATTTTATTCAACTTTTTGATCTCATAATTAACAAACTCATACAAATTGGTCATTTTATGATAATACTCTTTTTAATTATCGTTATAGAGAAATTTCCTTCGTACTAGTGAAACAAATTTAATTAAAAAGTACGGAGTTTAATTATTATTAAACGTATTATTTATTTATTTATCTACTTTACAACTGCTGATAGAAATAATGAAAGCATGTTTTTGTGTGCGTGAAAAAATTTGATATTGTGAAATTAAAAATTGAGATTTTGTTGTTGTAATTTAATTAGTATTGTATAGAATTTACCTGAGTATTTTTTTTTGCATAAAAAAATTGTATGTAAAAATTAAAAAAATGACTATGTAAAAATTACGTATGATTTTATTTTAAATAAAATTTTTGTTGAGATTAAATTAAAAGCTTTGAAAAGTAATTAATTATTATACAAACTTTTATAATGATTATTATAAATTTTTTACAAAATGTAATATTTTGAAAAAAAAATCTTTAAAAGATGATATTTTTATTTTTTATCTACACAGTAAAAAATTTTGCGTCATTGCATCAAAAAACTCAGTGTTAAAAATTTTTGTGTTAAATATTGAACACTTTTATGGGTAAATTATACTTTTATTCTGTTAAATCAACACAAAAAAGTATTAAATATTCAGCTTAAAAATTTTTAACACAAAATTTTTTGACGCAATAACGTAAAATTTTTTACTGCGTATAAAAAATCGAAAAAAAAAAAAAAATAAGTGACCGTGAAACTAAAAAATTAAGAAACGATCAAGTTATTTTATGAAACACATTAAAATTACTAATTTGAAAATGATAATGATAAGAATTAATAATGAAAAAACAAAAGTCGATATTATGTTTTAGCTACTTCAACTTAATCATTTGATTACACCAATTTGAACCGTTTAATTAATAAGATAAACCAAGTGTTGAGGAAAAAGTTTCAAATAATTAGCATTATATGGAGTGTACTTTTAGCCGATTAGACAGTAGAGAGCAGAGTCCGTGTCTTTACCCAACGGAAAAGTTTGCTAATGAAATGATCGATGAGCCTGACAAGGCTCCGCATAATCAACCTGCTGCTTGGTAAAACTCCCAGTCGAGTTTAAGGACAAAGTTACGGGCACTGGAATATCTAATACCAATAAAATAGTCTACATCTACAGCTATACAAATATACATATAAGAGCTAACATATAACATATAACAATGGCATTATGTACTCGGCATCACCAGTACCCTCTCGAGCATACCTATAATTTATTCGTCATGATGAAGAATCAGCAGCAAACTTTTACACCAGAGCAAACTCCAACCATTCGCGTTAAAGATCCATCAAGGGTGTTAGCATTCCGCTTGATCGACTTTGTAGTTTAAACTCGGAATTATAAAATCTACATTCTCGTCTGCGCCTAATATATTAACCATCACTCGTTTGTGGTTTGTCTCAACCGAACTATCCTGGGATTTGTCTAAAGTTTTAATTGCCAAGACGGTAATTGATCAGATTGAGACTTTCAATCTGGATTTTAATTCATTGTTATTTAGGGGAGATTCGTACTTGCTGATTTTTACTAATGGGAATCTTGGATTTATTTTTAAATAATTATTTGGGGTGAATTTTATTTTTTTTCTATCAAACTTTTTTATTTTTTAAATTTAGATTTTTTTCTGAAAATTGAAAAATTTTTGACTAAATAAAATTTCTTATAATTTGTAGTCAATTTTAAATTATTATTGATGGCTCAAAAATTATTAACAAATAAAAACTTAAATTAAAGTTCATCTTATTACTAAACTAATTTTTTTTTATGAAAATAAAATTAGTCGACATTTTAAAATTTTTAGAAAT